TATTTCTTCTTTTATTTCCTCATATTCTGTATTTTAATACAACTTGATAAACGTTTTTCTTCTGTTATATATTTATAGTAACTATAAATGATATTTACGAGGAGCTGTGTAATTTCGTAAAATGTTCTTGATTGATTGACATTTTTGGGCACTAGTTCACATGGGCGTGATGCTACGAAACTTAAGACTTTTTCAATCTAACATTAAAATAATTATTCCTATCAGACTTTAGTTTAAACTATCTGAAGAGATTTATTGGTACCGGTTGGAGCAACTAGTCCGGTGATTGGGCTTTTGATGCTTTTTGTCAATCCCCAACGACCACCCCCTGCCTACCAGAGTGGGAGTGCTAAGAATCATTTCTCGGAGCTTCTGAGAAACAGATATTAACTAAGCCGGTGAGAATCGAGTCCGCGGGGTTCAGAAGCACCGAGTTCTGGGACCCTCACCACAACTCGGTCGTCTCGTCTTCATCTTTAGTTAATATAGATGTAAATGAAGTCGTGCAACAACTCTAAAAGGGTAGTAAATATAGTATAGTAAATATACAGTTTGCTCTGACAATATAGTTTATCCCACAGTTAATTTTAATTTTATAGAGTTGACTTAACCCAAGGAGCGTTTGCAAAACTATTTTGCTATTCTGATGAAACACTCTAATTGTCAAAAGACATTTTAGTGAGCGTTGGGAGTTTGAGTCTGGTTTGTTCAGTCTAGGAAATTTATTCTACCACTGGATTCTACCTTATTTCTATTAAATCGTCCGGAAAAAAAGTTAGCGTTTATTATCTCTGGATCAAAATTTTCGACTGTGCAATGCCTGTACAGTATCAGACAAGCATATTTCACCTATACGCCAGAAAATAAGAGGGATAGCTGTTGGTACCTTGGGCACGCAATTTGGTCAGCAGTTGGCCAACCGCGATGCCTTGCGATGGTTGCCAAGGTGTGTGGATAGCTTTTGTCCGCGGAATAGTAAAACAGTCCGGGACCTTTCATAACTTTATCTTTTCTTCAATCAATCAAATAATCATATTATGTCAACCACTAGCGGATTCAGGATTTCATTTTGGGGGGGGGCTTCAGCCTGAAAGATTTTTTTTGTTGAAATATTACAATAATTACTTTGGAAAAACTAACTACTTATACGAAAAGGTGTTTAAGTGATTATTGAAGTCCTATTAAATGTAATTACGCCAACAATAATACTTTTAGAGTAATTTTTAATATTTTTTTTCTTAAGACACGGTAATATTTTACCATTTTGGTGGGAAGAGGCCTTAATCCGAAAGCCCCATCCCCCGTAAATCCGCCTGTGATACCAACCATTAGCGAATCTTGCGTTCAATTTGAGGGGGCTTGAATTTTTTTGTATTAACGGTAATTACTCTGAAAGAATAATTTTTAAGTGGTCATTGAAGGCTTTATAAAAAAAAAATATGAACCGAATCATAAATTATTTTATTTCCATTTTTGGAAGAGAGCGCGATTCAGACCGAAAGATCCAACGCCCACCTCGCCATGTACCAACCAATGATCCTTATAATAAATAAATAACATCAAACAAAGGCTTTAGGGTAGATCTTATTAAATTTTGGGGTAGTATTAAGTATACAAAATATCAGTGTAATTAATTACTTAAGATACAATAACGATACATGTCAGATATTTGTTTACTTTAGGAGTTGAAGCAAACATTTAAAAACTTATGACGATTTTATCTTTTTGACTTCATTTAATTTAATTTTTTTACAACATGAATGAAATTTTTTTTCTCTTTTGTTCTTTGGCTCAGAAATATTTTTAATTCAGAATGATTAATAGAAAGTAATAAGCTAAATTAAAAAAAATTACCACTTCTACAAAAGTCAGTATAGCTTCCTCACAATTTCAGTTAAGTACATTACAAAAGAAAAATAAAAATAAAAATATATAAAGAAAAATATATTTCACTACAGACAAATAGATATGAAATCAAATTTGTTCCTTGATATAAATAAATTCTGTTTTTTTCTTGGATAGTTACAAACTTTTCTTATTTTCTGAAGTTAGAAAGGAAAAATAAATTTTGTTAAAACAAACTTAATAACTAGTTTATCAAGTGATTATCAGTATATGTAATATTTTCAATATTTATCAATATTCATAAACACAAATGGTCACGCATAAACATGTAATTAGGTATATACAATGCCATTTAGATAATATATGAATATTAATTATAATGATGTAATCATAAATGTTTCCTTTTGTGATTTAATCTATATAATTACAATGCATAATATTTTGATGAGTTGCTGATTATATTGATGGCGAAGATTTCACTTTCCCTATTGATATCATTTAAACAATGTATCTTTCTTATTTAATGATATTGAATAAATAAAAAAAAGTTGGCATTATAATCCTAAGAAAATAATGTTGAAATATGAAATTATATTAAAAAAAAATCTAACTCAAGTTAAAGTTGTCCGAGTTAGAGTGCAATAGGCAACGGTGTGTGAGCTGGAATTCGGTTCTGCGCGGGCGTACAAAGTGAGTTACTGAGACTAATCATTTGAAAGTCATTCGTCTATTTTTCTTTTAAATAAATTATCGTGCCGTAATATATTAATTTATACAACTTTTTCTCTTTTGTAATGATACTTTATTACTGAAAATTATTCGGGTCATTCATTCTATAGAGTAAAACTTCTTCTATCGGGTAAAAAGATTTCAGATTTATTGAACAGCAATTTCCCTAAGCATTCCAGAGCCTTACGGTTTAAGTTCCTAAATACCCATAGAGACGTTTCCTGTCTACAATTATTCTAATAGCGTTACATCCGCGATTGTCCGATTATCAATTTTCGATTTCAAGTAGCTAAAGGAATTAATTTCTTTCTATCCCATGACGGGGCTCTGTCACGCTCGATATAGAGGGTTTAAAAAAGATATTTAAGTAAGTCGGATGTACCGAGTGGTCATGAAATGCGGTATGGAACGTTATGGAACTACTTTCTCCAGTATTGTTGAGGAAATCCCTTATGGGCGATGAGGAAGCGAGGTGCTTGTTATTGGAGGTGCCGTGTATTAGGGGCCACATCAGTGATGTAACCATCCGCCGACGAAGTACTATATGAGTGTTGTGTCCTCTCAACGGAACATACCATAACTATACACTTTATGTAGAGTGATTTAAGTAATAGTCAATTTATTTAATTTACTAACTAATTAAATAAATTAAAAATATAGTAGTCATTCAATGAGGGAGTGATCTAATTGTTACTATATTACATCGTTTGCTCTCCTGCAGCGCTTTCTGAAAATTCCAAATATCTTAAAATTCTGATAAAAATCAAATTAAATTAAAACAGTGCAGTAAGTAGTGGATCCTGTATTTATTTATTTTTTTGGGGGAGGGGATTTTCATTTTTTTGTTTTTTATGTGGTGTTTATTATCCTGGATGAAAAAGAAAAAACAAACTAGCTATATAAAATAATGTTTAAGTGGTCCTTGAACACCAAAAAATAAATGAATAAATTTAATGAGGTACTAATAGTTTATAAATACCCATCTGCAATCCACTTGAATCGTAAAATAATTTAACACAAAATCGATAAAAAAGGTGGCCTACAAAAATATTGGGCCGTGTGGCCTGTATAATCTCGTTAATTTGACACAATGGAGTAGATGTTACGTCAAACGGCCCAATTTTTTTGTAGGCCACCTTTGTTCTCGAGTTTATGATCAATTTATTTTACGATTCAACTGAAAAGCAAATATGCGTTCATTAGTTACCAGCAACTAATTAAATAGACAATAACGAGAATTTTCGTAAATAAAAATGTTTTAGGCTACGATGAGATGACGCTATTCACGAAAGTTTAGGAGGATGTTAATAATTTGATAAAAAGAATCTGTACCACGGATTATTCTATTTATTAACTGTTATACGTTATAATTTAAAAAGAAAATATATAAGGAGCTTATAAAAAAAAAATAAAATTTGAATTTTTTGGAGGATATATCAGCCGGAATAGATTCGTCACCAAAGCAGTATGATCATCCCGAATAAAATTTAGGGTTTACAATCGAAAGTTTTTATTTTTTTTATTTATTTATTCATGATAATTACAACTGTATTAAAAAATTAAATACATTAAGTAAATTTGATAGCAGAAAATAAAAACATGAAATGACTTTTTGAGAAACTACCCACTGGTAGCACTCTAAAATAATCGAAAGTTAAATTTTATTCTCAAACGGTTTCGATACGTCTTAATTTTTAATTTCCGTTTGATTTTCTGTTCTTTTGTGATCAGTACTGATATTCCAGAAACTTCTTACAAGATGTATTTATAGGACTTTTATTTAAAAATTTTATTAAAGCTATTCATTTCACTCAAAAATCATTATAAAGGACATTCTAACCTACTCAAGCAAAGGAAATAAGGCAATTCATTGAAGAGAAACTATATCTGTAATCTAAGCCCACTTTCTATTTATTTCTCATTTAACCAAACGTTAATGAGTTGTTCAAGTTTCAATTTAATTTAAGCTTTTCTAATAAACCTAGAACTTTATTACACTAATCTTCAGTTAAAAAATGAAAGAAAAAATTCCATTAGTCAAGTCCTCATATAGATACTACTGGATATCAAATGTGGAATGGAGAAGCGCATTTTTCCACTAAAATAATAACTAATATTGATTTACTTCAATTGATATCATTTCCAATTAGTTTCACTCAATGTTGTTTATATCAATTGACATTTTAAATACTGTCACCGGGTTGTCAGGTTTGATATACAAATTCAAAGACGATATGATATTTTTGATCTACTAAAACGAAAAGATAGATTCAATACAAGGATAACTAATGTTATCTATTTATTGTCTCCTGAAGCTTTCTTGAAAACCATCGACAAAGATCAGTAATGCTAAACTTCGATCACCGATTAAAATCGCACAAATGAGAAAGATAGCATTAGATATAGTGGTAGCACAATGGGAATGGATGAGAGTCGAAAGCAATACACTGAGGGCAATAGATAAGACTGTCACTGATAAGAATAGAGCAGAAGGTACTTACAGCGAGTGGAGCTGGCTAGGAGAAGACAACGTACTGAGCAAGAAACCGGGCGCGGGTGCCCGCTTCGGAGGGGGGTGAAAGTTATCGAAGAGGGGGAGGATTCGACGGTCAGCGCTGGGACCAATCCTCGGGGGGCCTTCCTCGTCCAAGAAGTAGAGTGGAAAAGGATCGTATCCTTAGCAACGGCTTCCGGTATCATTGGCTCGGTTTTTAACTTCTGTTTTTATCGGAGAAATATTAAAATCTACTGTTTAGGAAAACCGACAGATTAGTCATTCTTTTCTTTTGTGATAATGGCAGAAAGGGATGTCCAGAAGTTACGGCATCAAAATTTTTGAAGGAGGCGTATTGTTACAGGATTATAGATTTTTTGAGGATGCACACATTTAAGATTTATAAAGGAAGGAGATGGTCCGGGGTGTCGGTCTTAAATAGGCTAAATAGTGGCAAAACTATTTTATTAAAAGCCAATGTTTCGACCCGACTTTGCAGGTCTTCTTCAGGGAGATGTGTTCAGCTAGGAGTTTCACTTAAAACTCACTTGAGTTAAACCTGCAATGTCGGGTCGAAACGTTGGTTTTTAATGAAATAGTTTTGCCACTATTTAGCCTATTTATGACCGCCACCCCGGACTATCTCCTTCCTTTATAATGCAAAGGTCAACTATTAAATATTCAAAATTTAAGATTTATGAATTTACTAAATAATTTTGAAATTTGAAATAAATTGAAAAGAATCATCAAATCAAGGAACAAAGAAAAAACTGAACTGCAGCTTTTATAATTTTACATTAATTTCTATCGTTTTAAGAAAGAATACCAAAAAGTTTAATGACAGGAGAGACGAATGTTCCATCACCTTTCAAGAGATGGCATCCCAGAAGGCGGGTATGTCTTTTTGGAACGTGTCGCTCATGATTATTTCCTCTGGTGTTTATTCTGCATTCATTTCAGTTGAGATTATTTCCGAATGGATCTACAAGAACTAAAAAATCCCTACAGTATTAGAAAAAAAGGAAAATATAACAATGTGTCTTTGCCTGCAAATTTTCAGTCATGTTTAAGGACGTCAGTGATAAATGGTTATAAATGGTTATATACCAATTCTGTCCAACCAGCGCTGCGTCATAGTAGCCAATCATAAGCCGCAACCCTCATTTAGACAGATTTTATTAGGATATCGAATAAATACATATATTTTTCATCATAAGTAATGATTAATTTATTCATTATTCATGGAAAAATAAACTGATTAGCGTATGAATGATAATTAAATATAAATAAAATTATTGAATATTTAATAGATGACCGTTGTATTATAAAGGAAGGAGATGGTCCGGGGTTGCGGTCATAAATAGGCTAAATAGTGGTAAAACTATTTTATTGAAAGCCGACGTTTCGACCTGACTTTGCAGGTCTTCATCAGGGAGGTGTGTTCATCTAGGAGTTTCACTTGATAACTAGATGAACACACCTCCCTGATGAAGACCTGCAAAGTCGGGTCGAAACGTCGGCTTTCAATAAAATAGTTTTACCACTATTTAGTCTATTTATGACCGCAACCCCGGATCATCTCCTTCCTACATAAAATTATTATTCTAAAAAATATTTAAACATTTTTAAATATAGTAAAAATCTGTTTCAACTGTAAGAGTATAAAAACGCTTCAAATTATTTGTCAATGGTTTATTATTTCAAAACAATTATACAGCTAAAGTAACATTACCTTCCTATTGACTAAGAAAAATAAATAAAAGGTGATTCCAATTATTGGCCTAAACATTTTTTTCATCATTTGTAATTTGCTAAAAAAAAAAATTGCATTACTTCAGTAACACATTAAAAAATGAAAAACCAAAACCAGTTTCTAACGAACCCCCACCTTTGGGTTAATTATTTAATTCATAAATTTAACACATGATATTGGATGGGGATAATCGTGTGGTGCGGTTTGCAATTGTTTCAAATTATTAAGTGTTTAGTGTTGTGTTTCATTGTTCTTAAAAACTATAAAAACTGATTTTGTTTTGTAGGTAGGTATAGTTTTAAAATTTAATGTATTAATTTAATTTGAAATTCTAATTAATAAGGAACTTGTTTTGTAGAAGCAAAAGCAGTCTATAGTTTATCTACAATTAACACAAAACAAGATTATAAATCAGTTTTTTCTCAAGATGAAGCACCATGTAAAATTCCATATCCTTAAGGAAGACGATGTGATTTGTTAAAAAAAGTTAATAATATCAGGCTATCAACGAATGAAACATCATATATATTCCTGATTGAAGTACAAAATGAAACAAAACACTAAATACGTAATAATTTGAAACAATTGCAAACCGCACCACACGGTTATCCCCATCCAACGTCATGTGTTAAATGCATGAATTAAATAATTAACCCAAAGGTGGGGTTAATTTCGTTAGAACCTGAAGCTTCTTTACATATATATAAACAATAGTCCGATTTTCCGCAGCGAAGTATGGAATTTAAGTTTTTTAAGAATCGCGTTTTTTGTTTAAAAGGAAATGAACTAAAAATATAATTAAAAAATTCCTTCATAATAAACTAGACAACAGGTAATTTAAATATAAATAGAGTCTGTCTTGGTTAAAGCCATTTGAAAGGAACTTTTAAGCGGGTAAACTACGCTGAAGTCTGTTTTTCATAAAATCACATATTTTTATCACCATATAACTAGACTAAAATTAACCCACTCTTAGATAAACTCCTTATATAATAGGTTTTAATTATTGCAAGCTTTAATTTCTTTTCTTTTTTCATTACCTCGAAAATACTTATTTCATTAATCCAGTAATAATACCTTTAATACTATATATCATTATAGTAAATGCTGCTTTTAATAAAAGTCGATGCAGTTGTGATACTGTTTCATAATAACTCGGCAACGGTGATGACGATGAAATATACTATTCTAAATAATTTTGTAAACATAATTTACTTGAAACATTAGAGTTTTGGGTTTCTTTGGTATTCTTAAAATTAAAATGAGGTTAAGGTACGAAATTCAACTAATTTGGAGAGATTATTGGAAAAGAAACATTACATCTCCTGACACATCAGGACAGCGGATAAACCGACAACAGCTGTTTTACCGACAGACCACAAGCTTAAGCCAATATGATAAAAAGACAGACAGTGACCTTGTTCCGGAAGGACGTTCTGTCGATTCGGACAGCTAAAACGAATGCATGCAGTTTTGGAGAGGCGATATCAGGATTGGTGAATAGGAAGAATGTTTTGCTGTAGCCCGGACTCACACTTCTCAACACACGAAGCATAAACTGAAATGGTTGCTATCCAACTTCTGATGCTCTCGCTCTGATGTTGCATCTAAAGACTTTTATTATGAACCAGCAATGGCTCACTTGCGAGAACATTTAAACATTGGAGGAGGTAAGAATTGGAGTACAATTATCTTTACAGTCGCTTCTAGACGGCAATCTATCATAGAGTTTATTGGACTGTACTTCGAAAGTTGGAAGAGATTTGATATAAGAAAACAAAAAATAAATTTTGTCTTTAAAGATGTATTTACACCAGTCAATTTCATGTTGTTTTTTCCCTCTCAGTGACCCAAAACTTGAAGCAGTATACTGCAAAGGTTTTTATGTTGCAACTTTGCTGAAAATACAAGCAAAAATGACATATCAGGTATCAGGAAGGACAGTACTCGACAGCAACTCTTTCCTGGTTTGTTTCGATTACTTACATTGTTTGAGGATGGAGATCTCTCATCCAACGCATTTTTAGTCTCCTCTTCATATACATTCAGTGGTATGACAGGTATGGCCAAATCTTATATCAATCTGTTATTATGTCCGTTTACATTTGTATAACATCGTTAGTAAAGGGTCGTTATATGTTGGTCAAGTGTTGGTAGGTAGAGGTCAGTATGTGGAGTTTTGTTTGTCACGTACTGACGTGCTTTTGGTATGAGTAGCAATAACTTTTATTTGGAAAGTTTGAAGTTTTTGTAGGAGGGTCTTTTTACCGATACCGTATATCTGTGATGATTATGTCCATATCTATTTAAGTAAGTATGTATATGTATTCAGTTTCTGTCTCAGTTCAAGTTTTAAAGATTTAGATAAACGAGGGTAAAGTAGTTTGAGTCGTTTGTTAAGTATGTTACGTTTCATTTTTACAGCGGGCCTCATGTCATCCTTCTGTCGAGAGTTAATCCAAGATAAAGTACTGTGTCCGTTTGAGGAATTTGGTTGTTGTCAATATGAACAGGAGGTCAGGTGTTTTTTTTTTGTATTCATGATATCTACAACTGTATTAGTATTTAAATACATCAAGTAAATGTGTACACAATAAACATGTTGAGAAACTACTCACTGGCAGCACTCTGATAATATGTCTACATAAGGAGATCACAAGGCTATCTTCTTATCAGACACCTCGGAGGTTTATCAGGAATAGAAGTGGAAGCGTGGATAGAAACGAGAGGATTCTGATGGTTCTGAAGTTTATTATGGAAGGATAGGTATCTGGATTGGGCCAAATCGAAAATATACAATGTAAGTAGCATTGAGTATTTTTCGACGGATTTTGGCTTGTAAGGATTGGATATGAGAGGAATTTGATGATTTAGTGGAGCCCCATTGCTGAACTCCGTAAGTCCAAATAGGTCTTATTATAGTCATGTGTCTTTTGTAATTAATTTTTCTTAAGAGTAAATGCTACATGTTTGGATTTGTTACGATTAAGTTGAGTTTTCTATAGTTTGAACCAATCTTGTAATTTAAGCAAATAATGTTGTAAAGTTAGTTCGGCCTGTGTTGATCTGTGAAAAAAAATGAACTTCATTTCTACTATTTAAACTGCCATTTTTTTTTCTCACATTAATACCGTAGCAGACTGACAGAACAAGTCGCGTTGTCTTGTCCTTGATACCTTGGGGTTGGGTGTGCCAGAAATGTAAACCAGGACCCAGAGTCAATCTATAGATTGACAGATAATAAATAACTGCCTATTACTACTACTCTGACCTTATTCCTAATAATACTTTAATGTTGGGATAACTTCATTTGACGAATTTCATTTGTGAAACGTATTCTGATGGATGTCTTTATTAACATTCTCATAACTTCATTTTTGAGTTTAAACTGACCATGAAGTAAATGCTGATCATAAGACTTTCAATGATCCATTCATTATTATTATTAACATCCCTTAGTCGTTATTAAACTTATCAACAAGTTGCAATTTAATGAAGAAAAGAAAAGGTGAACAATACTTTTTCGTATATTGCTGTTCTCAACAAAAGCAACTCTCCATTGTTAAATGTAATAATCGGCAATATTATCACTGTGCGTTCTTCACGAAAATACTCATTATTATTATTTCGAATCGTTATATCCTTGAACGCTTCTTATCTGATTGTCTCATTACTGATCGCATCACTTACAGCTGATTCATCACTCTAATTTGATACATAAGTGGCTTATGTGTTTTGTTTAAATGAGTTTTACACTTCACTATCAGTTGCTTCCATCAATGGAATAATCCACCGTCTCACCTGAATAGCAAATTGAGACGTGGCATTGGGTCTAAGTGAGATCTTATTTCAGTTAGGCAAGAAAGTTGGCCTTAATTTGTACTTAACACAATTTAGGGCAAGATCAGTACATGATCCAATTTGCACAATGAACCTATCTCAATCAGGCCACAAAAATCGAACCCCTATTAAAAAAAATGACGGTTTAGACCTTGCACTATTTTCTTAACATTAGGTAATATTTTTTTATTCTAGAGAAGGTTAAACTTTTTTTTGGTTAAACTGGTTTGGATTCGCTTCTACAAGATGACAGATGATTTTAAGATTCTTATGAATATATGGTAGATGGAATAGCGAAAGTAACCGAATACTGATCATCGGGTTCACATACAATGACAGTGTGTCCTAACGAAATAATTTAATGAATGAAATGCACTGAAATTGCCGCGAAACAAAATATTTTTCATCGTGGCCGAAAGCGCACTGATTATACCGAAGCAATGTTCAAAATAAATCCATTTTTGTAAATAATTTCTATCATATATAATAAAATATATTTACAAAAAAAAAACTCTGTTCCATTATAACCCCTGAAGGGTCTTGTGTTCAGTAATTTGTAAGGAAGTTTCTTGGCCAAAGGCTGCGCAAGGAGGTGCTTTGACCGAGATCACGCTCAATGGCTAGGTTTTTCTCCTTGACCAATTATTTAATTAAGGGTACCCACTTTATAGATGCTGGTTGTTCACCACCTCTGGGACGATCCATGACCGAAGAAACAGAATAAATATATTATCTGCAATCAGCCGGATTCAAACTTGAGATCTTGAATATTAGAAGTCCCGCGCCCTACCACTGGGCTACTTTACTCCCAGACATTACAATAATATTTTTTGTTTATTTAAAATTTGGTAGCACTTTTTAAATGTAGCAATTAAATATGTGCACATAAGTTTTATATGAGTGCAAATAAATGTCACTTAGTTAAAATATACTGGAATATGTTAATGAATACCAGTGGAGAGATGATGCCAGTAGCTAAATTGTCTGTATTTATTAACTTTATTTAAGTCTAAATTTGCTTAATACAAAGGCATTCTTCCTGCAATTACTGATAAATGAACGCAAGTGTCACATATAACTTATGATTGTTATTTTTTGCTTCCTCACTACCAAAGGTAGGGAAGCATTGTGTTCGTGCGAGAGATTAAAAATTTTTTTTTGCTCGGAATCGAAAATTTTCACTCGCGTTTTACGTTTCAGACATCAAGGATCAAATTTGGTTCGGTGTCTGTCTGTCTGTCTGTAGTCAAATCGATGTGACGGGCATATCACATGGTTTTTTGGAAGTTTACGGAATTTCCTAAAAAACAAAAAAAAGTTCGTCAAAATCGGACAATTAGGAGCAAAGATATGGTCTCTAGTTTTTTTTTTAGATATGCTATTGCAAAAGGTTTATCTTTTTTTTTATTTCTGAATGTGTTACTGAAGTAATGCTATTTTTTTAGCATATTACTAATGATTAAAAAAAAAATTTAGTCCAATAATTAGAATCACCTTTTATTTATTTTTCTTTATAACTAGGAATTTAATGTTACTTTATATTTATAATTGTTTGGAAATAATATACCAAAGAGAAATAGTTTGCAGTGGTTTTTTTCAAATTAATTGTCGTTATATATATATATAAATCTTTCGTGCTGAAGCCCCTCCTCCAAAATTAAATCTTGATTCGGTAATGTATATACTATTATTAGAGCATAAGTTCGTATGTAATAATTTTCTACTTTCATTCTATGTGTATTAAAGGTGATATTTTGTAGTCTGCAACTGATATAAGTAGTCTGCTACTATGGAAAATAGCAGATGAAAATAAAATATGAAATTATTCTAATAAAGCATAAAGAAATATTGAGTTTTTATGCACTCTTTTAAAACAATAAATAAATTTATGCATAAGACCTTTTGAACTAACAGTATTGAAATTCATGTTCAGTAGGCATTTTTTTTTATTTTTTATTAAGCATAATCAAGTATGGAATATTCAAATACGACCCTCTTTTGTTGAATGTTGAAGGGTAACTGTAATCGGCTATTCCGATTCTGCTTCTCTCAGAGATTTTATTCTCATACGAAAAATTGTATACCTTGTAATATACAACGGAAACGGTGAGGAAGCTATACTGATCTTACTTGGCAGACGTTTTTTAAGACGAATTGGATTGCTTATTTTATGAATGCCTAAAAATTAGATTTGGTGTTTGAAGAATAAACTAGCTTAGTAAGGATATTTGTACTAGAAAAACAAATAGAACTAATTCAAAACATTATATTAAAGTATATTATTAGGGTAACAATCATGACAATTAACTAAAAAATTTTATCTTGTGATTCAGATTTTTAATCTTCCCATTGTCTATAATTAAACATGGCCTGAAAAACACATAGATGCTAACTGAAAACAAAATAAAATTTGTTTGCCATTTTAGCTGAACGAGAATTTCTATAAATCCCTTTGATCCCAGGTAACTTGACAGATTTTTGAGACTGTAACTGTTTCTTAGGATTTTTTGGGCAGTTTTGTTTATTGTTGCTCTCTGGAGTTACAAAATAACTTAGAAAACAAAACGTAATTATTATATATATATTTATATATTTTGTTCGACAACTTATGTATTG